AAAAAGTATAATAGGTAATAATATTCATGAATCCTTAGAAATAATAAAACATAAAAATATCATGTAGTATTAAATAGAGATGAAGGTATGGCGAACATTTCTGCAAGAATGTGGATTGATCTCCTTTGAATGGTTTAGCATGAATTTATGTAAAATAGCATACAGGTTACATGACCTACTAACAAGTTATAAGTACTTTAACATTGTCTTGTAATTCACTCCTGAGGATGACGTTGCAACGTCGAAACATGTAGAATCGTCAACTTTTTGAAGGAAATAGATAGCTCTAAATAAAATGTTTTTAATTGTGTACAAGCTTTAACGTTGAATATTTATTTTAACTTTATACACAAGTACCAAAATACAATACGAATGATAGGTTTTTTTTTTTGTGAGTGTAAAACACTTAAATGTACCAATATTAGGTTATACTTTTATTGCTAAGCAACATGATATAAATGCCACTGTAGGAATGCATTGGCTTTTCTATATATATATATATTAGTTGTTATAAATGGAACCAGTTCATTTCTATGTGGTTTTTTTGCTACATTGCCTCATTAAAAAGGTACGTGTCTGTCTTAGATTTATATCTATAACTTGTAATATATGGAACCTAGCTTGCCTCATTAAAAAGATGTGCGCATAAGTAATAATATCCAGGTGCAGACTCTAAGGATCCGCTTAGTATGAATGCAAAATTTCAGATTTCTAGGTTCTTTCCACTTAGAGCTATGTTGGTCACATTTCTTTCCTATGTGGTTTTCCCCATAAAAAGAAGCACACGTGCATGTGTGCACACACGTAGATAAGTAATAATGCCCAGGTACATACCCTCAGGGTCCACTTAGTATGGGTGCAAAATTTCAGGTTTCTAGGTTCTTTGCTCTTGGAACTATGATGGCCACATATTCTTTTCTGTGTGTTTTTTTTTGCTTGCTTACATCACAAAAAGATGCACATGCATACATGCACACATGTAATTAATTAATAACACCCAGGTGCACACCATGCATGTGAGTGTCTATCTACCTCTATCAGATTTTGCTCGTGTTATTGGGTTGACATACTCTAGATGTCTATGTCAGTATGTGTATTCCAAACCCATTTTAGCATAAAAATATAACCTATATACTTTTGTTGCTGAGCAACATGACATAAAAGCCATTGTTAGAATGCCTTGTTTCCAAACCACACTAGCTTTTCTATATATTAGAAGTTGTTATATAAGGAACCACTTCTTTCCTATTTGATTTTTTGCTAGCTTGCCTCATTAAAAAAAGAATTTACTGATGTTTGACTGCCTCAACTGCACTTGTCTACCTCTTTGTTGGTCAAGCTTGATTTCACAAAATTTATTTATTTCAGTTAGCTTATTAAATGTAAGGTTAGGGTAGAAGGGTATACTATAGGGTGGGGGTGGTAGTACTTGCCCCCTCATTTATGACTGGCTATACGCTTGTCCCATAATAGTTAAAACTATCCTATAACAACCTGTAATAGTTAAAACAGTCTTATAACATCCCATAATAGTTTTGTTGCTACGCAATAATATGTACTGTTGGTCATTACCAAAAAAAGTGTGTGAAAGCATTCTTGACAGTATAACATCCCATAGTAGTTAAAAACCATTCTATAACATCCCATAATAGTTAAAACTACCCTATAACAATTACAAACTAATGCATAACAACCAATAGGTAAAAACATTCTATAACATCCCATAATAGTTTTGTTGCTAAGTGACGATATATATTGTTGATCATTACCAAAAAAGTGTTTACGACAGTATAACATCCTTTTTTCTGCCTCTTTGTTGGTCAAGTTTGATTTTGCAAAATGTATCTATTTTAGTTAGCTATAAAATGTGAGGTTAGGGTATAACTATGAGGTGGGGGTGGCAGTATTTGCCACATCATTTTTGACAGGCTAAGTGCTAGTAATAGTTAAAAACCACTATAACATCCCATAATAGTTCAAAAGCAACTCTAACATCCCATAATAGCTAAACAATCTATAACATCCTATGACAGTTAAAACCAATATATAGCATCCCATAATAGTTAAAACCAATATATAGCATCCCATAATAGTTAAAACTGCTGTATAACATCCCATAATAGTTTTAAAAACTACTATAACATCCCATAATAATTAAAACACCTACAAATAAAAACTTACCACACAACAAGCCTTTTTTTTATTATTATTTCAAAGCCTTTGATCCTGTTCCTAGGACTGTTAGCAGGCTAACTGAGCAACATACTAATTGTAAGCTCTTAAGTGAGTGTTACAGGTTAAAACAAGCCTGTGTATCAGATTGAAAATGTTCCAATGAGTGTTATAGGTTAAAAGACGTGTTTTTATTTGTAACAAACATCCCATAATAGTTAAACACTTTATAGCATCCTATAATAGTTAAAACCAATCTATAGCATCCCATAATAGTAAAAACTACTGTATAATATCCTATAATAGTTAAAAAACTACTATAACATCCTATAATCATTAAAGAAAAACACTATAACAGCTCATAATAGTTTATTAAAACACTAACATTCCATTGCAGACATATTTCTTTTTCTATGTAGTTTTTTGCACAAAAAGATGTGCACGCGCATGCATGTAGATAATTAGTAATACCCAGATCAATACCATCAGGTCCACTTAGTATGTATGCAAAAGTTCAGATTTCTAGAATCTTTCCTCTTGGAGATATGGCAGTCACATATTCTTTCCTATGTGGTTTTTTTCCTACCTTGCCTCATAAAAAGTTGCGCACATGCATGGATAAGTAATAATAACTAGGTGCACACCCTCAGGGTCTACTTAGTATGTGTGCAAAATTTCAAATTTCTACGTTCTTTCCTCTTGAAATTATGTCAGTCACACACACACAGACATGCCCTTTTATTATTATACATAATTACTTAATGTTACTTACTCATTTTCATCCATAAGCATGGTAGTGCTTGATATGTAGGGTTGAGCCAAGAAAAAATGGTAGGCACACTCAATCTATTACTCTATAATGCTTACAGATAACTGCTAAGCTTGAGTTATAGCCTTATCTGAGCACCTTATTGCCATTATCGAGTGTTTTACGCCTTGTGTGACTCCCAATACCATTGAAAAGTGTTGCTAAAGTGGAGAACTGGGAACTAGCAAAAGAATCAGTGTTCATCTTTCTTTTTTCTTCTTCCACTATAGTAAAAAAATGTGTGGTTTTCACAATGGCTTTAGTATAATAGAAAAGCATTTTAAGAATACTTGGGAACAGACTATCACTAAGCATGGTAGTGCTTAATATAAGATAATGAAAACAAACATAATTCTAGTGTAAACAATGTTATTACCCCTTAAAGCTAGCTTTATTACATAAATATGGTGTTTCTATAGAAATCTTAAGTACAGGGTTAAACAGGAATTACCAGCCAATAACAGATGAACATTAGATGACTGTAACATACAGAATACTCAATTCTTTGTACACTATACAATCAGTCTTTATGTATGAAGTGAAGGAGTGAAAAAATCAATACACATAATATAAAAACTGTTTACACACATTCATAAAATACACTAGCTTTCAGTAAGGAGCAGAAACATCACAAAACAAGTAATAAAAAATATTTTGTAAATGTAAAATGATGTAGGGATGGCAGTCCCATAAAAAATGCAAACATGAATATAGAGATGATACAGCTATACATTTTTCATTTATTCTTTCTTTATTATAGGTTCCCCAACATTAAGTCCCAAAAAGTCAGGATTATAACCAGTGATGATTAATAATCTACTGCAGCCAATTGTATGGTATAATATCAATATCTGAGATCATTCTACAAATGCAATGAAGAAACTGACAAAAGTGATATGATATTAACATTATATATTACCTTTGAATTATAAAACAAATGTTCACTTATTAACATACTTCAATGAAATTGTTTAAAAAACAAAGAGTGGAAACAAGTAATAAAATAAAATTGCAAAAATTAAGTTAGATGTTGGGATGGCAATGTCAAAAAGTACAGTAACAAGGTAGGAATGAACACACAAAACCATACAAAAATCCCTACATAAGTAGCCAAATCTTTCCAAGAATAACTTTGATCTACAACAAAATGTTGAATTCCTGTCAGTTATGTAAATTCAGGTTTGAATAAAAGTATTGAAAGTGAATAATGCTATAGTCTTACAGTGGCTAATATTAACAACCATATGCTTGTAAAATATAAGATCAACTCAGTATTTACTGGCTACTTATGTAGGGATTCTTGTATGGTTTTGTGTACTAATCTTTACCTTGCTTCTTTATTTTTTAGCATTGCCATTTCTACATCATACTTAATGTTTGCATTATTTTTTATTACTTGTGTTCAACACAGTGTAGTCAAACTTAAAGTTAATGTGCAATAAAATATTAGTTAAATATCTGTGCAATGTAAACAACTAGACTAATATTATGACTATCTTTTGTATCAAAATAAGTTTCTTTCGAAGTTAGCATAAAAATATTATATTAGTATTACTAATAGTAATACTAATAGCTTTCTTAGCAGTACTCTTAGTCTCAGTGCTGGTCAGAGGAGTTTGTCATACGAATCATAAGATTTGTTACAGTCTTCTGTCAAGTCAATAACAAAAATTTATTAAGCTCAGCGAACATAATACAGGACCTGAAAATAAATTTGTCTGACAGCGACAGTTTATGATCCTAACCTAACCATTGAACCAGTCCAATATTTCGGCTACGTTATTACGTATTACAGTAGTTTTTGAAGAAAAAACTTACTATAAGTAAATTCAAGCATTTGATTTATAACTCGTGGTTCATATTCTATTATCCCCATGTCTTTTAAAATTGCTGCCATGACTTGGGCATCTTTTGGATTGCTTGGATTACCACTATTACTACTCTTGCCAGACGCCATATTCCCACTAACATACAAGCGCCATCTGAAACAAGTAGAAGCATTTCCTTTTAACTATACTTGTCGTATATTGCTAGCAGGCCTATTATAATTTTAACGCTACATTCTTTATTCAGTCCCATGAGGTTTTACTAGAGGAATAATAGTGTATAATTGTATATCAACCATACTATGTCCTCAAATATCCATTGGAGACAACGCGTTTCGCTCAATATAGAGCTCATCAGGCCGGTTGGAATGCAACAAACGCAACAATGTTCTGGTGACGTAAATAATATGGTTGTGTAAACGTGTTTAATGAAGAAAACCAGTCAGTATCATGTGAAAATGTTATGTTACATCTCTGTCGTTTGTTAATTGCCGGTATAAATTCTTCCCGAGGAACTTCAGCGATACAAGTCCTTTCTTAAATAAAACTAGTTTATTCTTTCTCAATACAACTTTGCAATATACAGAATTTCCACGGTCACTTTAAATTCAACACATGCTATAATTCACAACGATTCATGCACATTACTTACGGTCGCTACCGCTCACTTGACTCAATTATCTGTCTCTATATCTCTCTACCTGCAATAATCTCTCCGCTTTATTTGCCGGGCTTATTTACTAAAATATAGGGCCTCTGACAAACACTAGAGTTGCCAGGAACAGTCATAATCCTTCTAGAAATTCATTACGTGTCACCAGTGTCACGTGACTTCCGCTGTCGTAACTGTACTTGCATTTGTCTCTGTTCAGAACTTTTAACACAAATTCCTCAATCATGTGCTACACATCTCATATCATTAGAAAAGCCTTTGTTTGAAGAGTCTGGATTACATTCTGGATTTTCTATTCAAAATCACCATACCTATTTTTTTGCTTAGTCACACTTTTTAATGCAATAAGTATGCTACACGATGGCACAATGCCATTGTCATAACATGATGACTGGCTTTGATTCCAACTTTAGTTTTTTTATTTGCAAAGAATTTCCCACAAACAACACTTAACCCACATTTAATTTCATAAACAAAATTAACATTACACTAAATACAATTTCTACAGTCTTTCTCAACTTATTTAGGTCTAAAATATGCATGTGTAGTTTGTTCAAAACTAATAAGAAATAATTCAACTGAAGAGCATAAAAACCGCTGCATATGTTTGCAGGTTGCAGCTAGTTACTAATAACATTTTTAATTCTAAGTAATTTAATTATTGAATAGCCACTTATTGTATGGCTTGACTTACTGCCCTAGTCACGCCACTGACACTATAGCTATATCTCCAGGGTTTCCACTCTTTGCCCATCTAAGCATGGAAAGTGCTTGCTCCAATCTTCTATACCCCACTCGAATTCACTTGGCAAATTCTAATTTGCAAAATTCACCACCAACTTCAATGCACCCTCAATCTAGGTAATGTGCATAAGCACCTCATTCAGATAATGTAATCACTTTTTCTCGATAAAGAATTTGGCACAGGTTTCAATAAGCCGGAGTGTTGTGATTATTCTCAGTTTATGTTACGACTTTGAGTTAATGTTTCTACTATGGAGACCTACCACACCTCTTCTCTTCCATCTCTGCTGTCTGATGTTTGTCAACAGCCAGGTGAGGAGTCACTCTCAGTCAAAGCTGTCCACGATATGATCTGTTGCTACATGGAGACTGAGAGTTCTGAGGTGGCTTTTGCAAAAGATCTGAGACAAGTTAGGGAAAATTTAGACTCGTTTTTTCAGGCTCCTTCTTCTACAAGGTTGGCCTTGACAGAGGAACACATTGACCAGCCACTTCCTGCCCCTTTTTTTCATTTGGTTACTCAGGTTTGCAAGGTCTTTCCCATTGCATTTGACTCTACTGCTTTGTTGGCAGAATAGATGGCAAGTGTTGACATGTGTATTTCTCCATCTCTTACGCCCCCCAGTGGCACAGCGGTATGTCTGTGGACTTACAACGCTAGAATCCGGGTTTCGATACCCGTGGTGGGCAGAGCACAGATAGCCCATTGTGTAGCTTTGTGCATAACTACATGTTCTAATGTTCCATCTCTTAATATTGTTGATCATGCTGGAAGATTTGCTGCTCAGTTTCACAATAAGATAGCTATGCCTTGTCTCTCAAATTTATTGGAAAAACATACTTTGGCTTATTACCACCAGGAGGAGGTATGTTTAGATTCTCAATGGATTGACCCCTTTTGGACCTGTGGGGGTTTAGATTGGAATCTGTGATCACTTTAAACAGTTCACAGTTTTCTCAGATTCTTCTTACTCTCACGACTGTCCTGAGGTATTTATCTTCAATCTAACTTTTGTCTGAAGCTTATCACCATTCCCTTCATCAATTTGAGGATGAGTTGGGGATTTTGCTGATGTCTTCCTCAATTAGATTGTCTTCTTCAGTTCCTTCCCTGGTTTCCTGGCTGGTTTGTTGTTGAAATTTTTTTGGTGGAAAAATTTTTTATAAAATGTTTTTTTTCCATCTTCTGCCCTCAGGAAACTACTGGAATCTCATTTTACTCTGTCTCATGTTGTTTGCCGGAGTTTCTGAGACGTTAGAATCAATAATTTTTACAGCTTATTTACATTCTTCTTTATCGTTGTTGGCTTCTCACCCTTCTGGCATTAATTGGTAGTGTTGGCCAGTAGTGTTTCCCGAACTCTTCCTTTGGTTCTCAGGTCTGTTGGTTCACATAATAGAGTATATCCGTATTTTCGAGGGTCTTTAGCTCAGGCAGACTAATAACTTCGTCGACTATTCTGTGGGCAGATGAACAGTGGGAGCACAATTACCTCACTTTCTGGACATCCAGAGTTCTTTGACCAAGGGTCTATGGGTATGTCATGTTCTGGCTTCAGGTTTGGTTATTTAATTTACATGATCTACACATCCTGTTACCTTTTCACCTCCAACAGATCCATGGCTAGTGGATCTTTGTTCCCAGGCCATCAGAGAGTTGTTAGTCAAAAGTGAAATAGAGAGGATCAATCCCATTCTTCTGGGATTTTATTCCCATTTATTCTTTGTACCCAAGAAGTCAGGAGGTTGGCATCCCATTATCAGTCTGTCTCGACTCAACCAATTTTTCGATCCTTCTCGCTTTACGATGACATCTTTTCTCAAACCAATGATGGCTCTTTGCACTAGGGCTCTGGATGTCTAAGTTTGATGTTATCAATGCTTATATGAATCTTCCTGGAAGTTTCTCAGATTTTTTTGCACCTTATGTCTTCTGCAGAGTTGTTTGAGTCTTTTCTCGTCACCTGCATTCCTTGGGGCTATGCACACATCATTATATGGATGACTCGCTCCTTCTGACACTAACCCAACAATTAGCAGAACAATATTTTCAGATTCTCTTTTCAGCAGCCATAAAAGTAGGCTTCCTTATCAGACTGGAGAAATCTATTCTGTCACAGATGCAATATCTCGTCCATCTGAGTGTATTTTCCAATACTTACTTAAGTCATGCTCAACCAATCCCAAATGAGCATCAAGCCATTGAAAGAGCCATCAGGCTTTTATTTATGTCTCCTTCTCCTACTGCATGAATGATTATTTTTCTTTTGGGGATGTGGGCATCTCTCAAGCCTCTCTTTCCTTAGGTCAACTTCATATGAGTCCCATCAGTGGTCACAGCATGACCAGTCAATCATGTATTCCAATCCTTTGGATTATCCTGTCTCATGACTCAGGAGCACCATTGTAGATTGTGAATGGTGGTTGTATCAGAACAACGCCACTCTTGGGGTACACATTTCACCACCTTGTTCTGAGATCCATCTCTTCAGGGATGGGGAGCTTATCTTCTAGATCAGGAGTTCTAGGGTATTTGGACGGAAGACGAGTCTACCATTCATATCAATATTCTCGAACTCCTTGCAATACACTGGGCAATGGTTCAAGGTCTATCTCTCTTGAAGGAAAAAAATTGTCATGATACTTTCTGTCAGTTAACTGTAGTATCAGAGTTCTTGTCAAGGAGACACACATTCTCAAGACCTTTGTTTTTGTACCTTTGATCTTCTCTACTGGGCTCATTCCCATCGTATCAGTCTTTTAGCATGTCATGTTCCAGGAGTGATGAATTTATTAGCAAATCACTTGTCTTGACCCAATCTGATTATTCTGATGGAATGGATGCTCTCTCTTCAGGTATCCAATGATCTATGCCTTTGTGACACATTTGAATTCTCAACTGCAGTTTGGTTTCCGATACCTCATCCTCAAGGGTTGGTAGCAGATACGTTTAGTAAGAACTGAATAGATTTACATATGTATGCCTTTCCCATGATTTGGCTATTGCCCTGGGGTTCTGACTATGGTTCGTTCCACCTCCTGTCGTGTTCTCTTGGTTGGACCATATGGAACAACTCAAACTTGGTTTCCACTTCTTTGGTATGTGCAGGAATATCCACCTTTACCTTTTCCACTTTAGCAGTCTCTATTGAGACAACCTCGATCAGACATTCTCCATCCAGATGTTTGCTTCATCTATGGTGGCTTCATATAAGGAATCCTTATCCACTATTTTTTGGTATCTCAAATATTGAAAGGTTTTTGAATCCCAGTACTATCATGTCTACTCTCCTTTTGTATTCTTCAGCATGATCCCGTCATTCCAAACCTGGAGTGTTGCTTTTTTGGACTTCTTCATGTAGAGGAGAAAGTTTGTCCACTTCAGTGCTGCTTACTTTCTCATCATGAATCTGGTAGTGCAAAACCCATTACTCTATGGTTACAGGTTGGGATCCAATCAAAAGTATATATATATATAACATTGCGGTCCAATAGCGTAGCCACCAATGTGGGATATAGGTACTACCACTCCTTAATTCCAACCCTGAGTTTTGGAACTTCAGCTATCTGGTTGAGGCTGGCCTATACTGACAATTACTCATATTCTATTCCATCTTTGATACAGGAACTGAGTTCCTGTTGAAGAGCATACCTGTTCTGGATGTAGTGCAGTTCCCCCACTCTTGTATCAACTTTATCTTGATGCACTCCTGTT